AATGCAAAGTTAAAACAGTTTTAACGTTTAGAAAACGCGACACGAATTTGTGAAGGTTTATTTCATTTCACTGCGTCTCATATGTTTTTAAATGCAATCTGTGTGATCGGCGCATATGACCCCTTTAATCGCGGCTTGTGTACTGCAAATACATATGAGCATCATTACTGTGTCTGTCACGCGACTCTGTTCTGTTCCCCTTTCGGGCTTGAACTGATGGTAAAACTAAGGACATTATTTACTGTCTTTACATTTATGTTGAAAGCTGAAGCTCGCGATTATGGAAAGGGGCATTACATTTCCGCACTAGTGGTGTTCGGCCAATCACAATGCACTGGGTCAGCTGGCCAATCAGAGCAGACTGTGCTTGTCGGAAGGAGGGGCTTTGTAGAAAACGACGTGTTTGAGAGAGGCGGGGCATAGAGGACCTACAATAATGTACAGTATTTGAAAAATAATGTGTTTTTTGAACATTAAAGCATGTCAACATATTCTGTTACACCAAATACACAAAATAATGATCTTTAAAATAGCATCATATGACCCCATTAAAACTCTTAACCACACTTGTATGATCCCTGTTGACTAGTTTAGTGCTTCTCAAACTAGCTGGACTAGACATCAGAAAGCATTTTAGTTAAATGAAATGAGAATCAGAGTCCATATACAGAGTCAAATGTTTGAAAATGGTGGGATCATTATTATTCTTAATGAAAAACACAACTACAATAAAATAGTACAATGACAAACTGGCTCATATTAAACAAACTTTTATTAACAAAAATAAGACGGGTGACATGCAGACTAAAATATTTATTGTGACCACGAATTAAGAATTCGTTCCTACGACTTAATTCATTTACTACTTTTATTAAACCATAGTCATATTGTACTTATCCATTCACTTGTTTTGGTTTAATTAAAATTCTTAATTTATGACCGCAATTGAATGTAAATGAGAGAACATATTAGTAAATTGTGGAAACATTCTTAATTTGTGGTATTGATATATTTTTTTTAATTTCGCATGTCACGTGTGGAGTTCTGTATATAACCCTGTTGCAACACAAATAAATGAAAGATCTTTGGTTTTTCCTTTACTTTAAAATGGATGCTTAGTTTGTGGTTTATTATTATTTTGTTCACACCAATACTCACTATTAACTAACTATAAACTACAACCTTTCCCTCAATAAACTCTTAATTTGCATCTTTTTAATAGTTAGTGAGGTAGTTGTTACGTTTAGGTATGGGGAAGGATTAAGGGATCTAAAATAATGTCATGCAGAATAAGACATTAATATGTGTTTTATAAGTACTAATAAACAGGCCATACGCTAGTAATATGCATGCTAATAAGCTACTGGTTAATAGTGAGAATTGGTCCCAAAACTAAAGTGTTTCCATTGTTTTTTAATAAAAACACAACAGCAATAAAACAAATGAAGACAAACGCTATAACCTTTTGCGTTTTGCTTTGATACCAGATTGTTTGCCATCGTCTTGTCAGTCGTCTCTCCTTACTCTATTCACATGATGGTGAACTCCTGCCGTATGGAGTCTAAATCGTTTTTTAAAGGGGTCATATGATGCTGCTAAAAAGAACATTATTTTGTGTATTTGGTGTAATGAAATGTGTTTATGCAGTTTAAAGTTAAAAAAACACATTATTTTCCACATACTGTACATTATTGTTTCTCCTCTATGCCCCGCCTTTTTGAAACGCGTCGATTTTTACAAAGCTCATCGGTCTGAAAAATCGAGGTGTGCTGTGATTGGCCAGCTATTCAGTGCGTTGTGATTGGCCGAATACCTCAAGCGTGAGACGGAAATGTTACGCCCCTCACATACTGTTGATGCCGTGTCCGGCCGGAGCGACGAGACATAAACATTAAAACCCATTACAAACGAGGCATTTGTTGCATCCAGTGGGGACATAATTACTGATTATAATGACTTATACTGTCTTTTTACGCGTTGCGTTGCATTGCGCCGCGTAAACATAAAACCCTGTCTGCATTTGTGATCAGAGAAATGACAAACAACAAGTGCTAACGTTAATCCACACTGCCCAAAACTCGCGTTTGAATCATCAGTGGCAAATGATAAAAGAAAACGTACTTACGTGAGTCAGAACTGCCGGCATTTTAGTCTAACGTAACTCTCCCAGGATCAGTAAACAGTCCTCCATAAAATGTGCTGGCGATCCACAGCACTAAGTTGAAGTATTCCCTCAGCGACCAGCACAGATCAGCTCTAGGCATGACGAAGCGGATATCGTCCTCTTTTGGAAGACCAAAGTAGCTTCGCTTTCACAACGAAGCACACAGCGTCTTCAGGACATGGCGGCAGCGGCAACAATACTACAGTGAGAATAAAAGTTACGCCTTCTTTCTTTGCGTGAACATTTGGGCGCGTTATGCAAATCTTCCCACATAGTGAGGTAGATATGTGGGGGCGTGTTCGAACGAGCCGTTTTAGGTAGGTGTGGCTAACTCTTAACTTTTATAAAGAATATCTCTTTGGATTTGAGACTTTAGTCTTTGCAACTTTACAGATCTTCTTTATGCACCAAGAGCTTGTAACACTCTAAAGAGAAAGGAAAAAATGAAATCGCATCATATGACCCCTTTAAAAGACAAAACAACAGTGGGGGCTGTGTGCAAAAGTAGTGGCAAATGCTGTGTAACAGCCTAACTTGATCTCCTGTTCGGTTTGTAGCTGTGGCGGTGCATCAGGAGTCTGTGTGTGCGATGTTTGGCAGCGGCCTGAGCAGTGCGTGTGTGGTGGATGTTGGTGACCAGAAGACCAGCGTGTGCTACGTCGAGGACGGCGTGTCCCACCGCAGCTCCAGGTGAGAGAAACACACTGTAGGGCTGATGCGCTTTATTAAAGTTATAAGCCCCAAGAAGCCGTGGTTTACAGTGAATTTATAACAGCT